TGGGGACAAGTATGTCATTGACCGGTTCATCTTTCCAGCCATACCTCAGAGTTTTATGTTCTGAACTCCCTGTGTCACTAGTTTCTGTTGGTACACTGAGGAAGGGACCAAGCGGTGGGATCATGGCCCTGTCTTCCGGACTGGCTAGCTCAGGGTTGGCCTGAGTCTGGTTCTTCAGCCTTCCAGCCCAGCATCCTTGAAATAACATTCTTTTCTATCTAACATTATGAGCTCTGTCTTTACATGAGGACAGTGTGGGGAGTGGGAGGGGGGCTGGGCAGTGGAAGGAACTCCCTTTTAGATGAGGGTCTCAAAATAGGCTTCCCTTGAAGACACGGTCTGTCTTAGATCTGACTGGGAAGAGGAGGTAGCAGATGATGAGTGGGGGAGGGACACACAGAACGCTTGATGACTGGAGGTTCCTAGGGAGCCGGTATCAGAAGGGGAGGCCAGCAGAAGCCAGGACGTAGAAGACCTTGAGATCACAGCAGGAAATCTTCAGTCACTTCTTCTGCCACCAAATCTATCTCTTATTCCAGACAGCACAGCCCCCGAAACCTGCTGAGGTTCAGGGCCGAGTTCTCCATGTCTGGGAGTCACAATCAGCCCACCGGCAAGGCTTCTTAACCGGATCCTGACAACCTTTTGTCAAAGCACCCTTTTGCTTTGTTGACTCTCGGGTTTTCCAGATCTCTCATTGTGTTCTTTCCTAAGTGTCTTAGTCCCTTTTGACAAATCCCAGCTCAACTCTGCTGAGTCATAGGGAAATATCTGGGGGACACAGCTAGGTCTGGGAATCCCAGCCAGAGAACCCAGTCATAGTGAGGACGGGCAGCCATGCAGCCAGTGTGGGGCCCAAGCAGGTAGGTCCTGATGGAAGCCTTCAGACTTGTTGCTAACAGTCCTGCATTTACCCAGGAAGGACTTGATCAGCACCCGCCATGGGCCTGCGCTCTGGCTGGGCATCTAGATGGGCAATAGAAGATGACTGTGTTGAATAGTTTTATGTCAACTTGACACAAGCTAGAGTCATTTAAGCGGAGGGAGCCTTAATTAAGAAAACACTCCCATATGATGGGGCAGTAGCTAAGGGATTGATGGGGAGGGCCCAGGCTTTTGTGAGTGAGGCCATCCCTGCACCGATGGCCCTGGGTTCCATAAGAAAGCAGACTGAACAAGCCATGGGGAGAAAACCAGTGAGCAGCACCCCTCCATGGTCTCTGCATCAGCTCCTACCTCCAGGTTTCTGCCCAGTTTGAGTTCCTGACTTCCTTCAGTGATGAAGAGTGACATGGAAGAGTACACCAAATAAACCCGTTCCTCCCAACTTGCTTTTGGTCATGGTGTTTCAGCACAGCAATAGAAACCATAACTAAGACATCGATCCCTTTCTCTCTAGTAATCAAGCCAGATGTGAGGAATGGCCATTACAAAGGCTACGGAGTGAAAGTTCTGCGAGGCATCAGCTGGCAAAGCCAACGGGTTTTGTGTTGTATAGAGCCAGATCTCCCCAATGGCTTTACTAAAGAGGCAGAGCTGACTCAATACCTACTAGCCACAAGCCCAGGTGCCCACTTTAATTAATAATGTTGGGCAGAGGAAGGTCTTTTGTTCTATCGATGACTGCAGGGTGTACAGTAGGAAAGAGTGGGAGTGAAGGAGGCTCAAAGGACCTTGTGGAGGCTGAGGGCAATCTAGGAAGGGGACGTGGGATGCTGTCTCTCACGAGGTCTTCCCGGCAGTGGACAGGACCAGGAAAGCGAGGAAGGACATGGCAAGCAGCTACCCTGGATAAAGTGTCGTTGTGGGCCAAGCGAACAGCACAGTAGCCAGGCCAGAGCAACCTGTCTGAGGCTTCATCTAAGTCGACTGAGTTTTGGGCACGGCTGTCTCCAGGTGGCAGTAATGGCAAGAGAGGAATGTTAATTAAAACCTGAGCTGATGTCCCATCAGAGAACTGTCCAGGAGGAAAACCATGAAAATTACTCAGTGTCCCTCCGGAAGTCAACACTTGGCCACTGCAGACAAGGAGGGTCAAGCCACAGGGAGAGACACTTTCCAGAGGCCAGACACTCCACCCGGGAATTTCTGCCCTCTTCCCACTTTCCCTTTCTATTTCAATCCTGGGAAGGTGCTAGGGTGCATCACCCAGTCAGTCCTTTCTCCTCCCTGCTTTTTATTTCTAGCTGACAAGATTCTTTCTGGCTCAAGTCAATCCTTGGATGAGCAGGGAGGATGAGATGAGATTTAAATTGAGTTTGCGAACGAAGCACCAAAGGATGGAGATTTTAACAACAGAAAGTGATCCCAAAGTAATGCAATCTGCCCAAAATGTCATTAAGGGACAGAAAAGGGAAATTCAGCCGAGCGTGGCTGGAGGCAAAGATTAGGGCCAGAGCTTCATTACCGTGCCCCATGGAGTCGAGTCGCCTCAACACACTGGTTCCACAAATAAACAGAATAATTGATGTACGGCACGGTGGGGCTGAGTGTCACTTGGACGACCGGCTGTGGTGCTAGGAGAGAGCTGGGGAGGTGGTGTGCTCGCCCCAGTGGGAACTGGGGGAAGCGTTCCCAGAGGAGGCGCACTGAACTCCAGCGCTGAAAGAGCAGGTAAAAGCAGGTAAAGGGAGGTATTGTCAGGTGGGGGAGGGAGTGGGGATGAAGTGGAGGGCTGATTAGAGGTGCAGATTCGGAAGCCAAGGGATGGGTAACCGTGTAAACTAAAAAGTGATGGTCCTTGGGGAACACAACTAGCTGGGATATTTTTAATAATTAATTTTTGAGACAGGGCTTCAGTATGTAGCTCTGGCTGTTTTAGAGCTCAGTATGTAGACCAGACAAGTTCAGAGATCCACCTGCCTCTGCCTCCTGAGAGCAGGGATTAAAGGCCTGTGCCACTATGGCTAATATTCTTTTTCTTTTTTAAATAAAACTTTATTGTAATGAACTTGCAAATAAAAAGCATCATGTAGTGAGATGAGTCAGACCCAAAATCTACACATCTCCCACAAACATCTAAATAATTAGGACAGTCATTCAGAAGCCGTGGAGCTTCAAGTTGGATTTTACACTTTCCGTATTAATTATATTTTTATGCACTTATCCACCACAAAACCCTGACAAATGCATAAGAGAGTTAACACTTGAAAAAACAATTAGCTTTATAGCCCTTTCCACCTCCACCACACGCACGCACGCACGCGCAAATGTACTTGGAAGTACAGCATACTATCTAGGAAAGAGAACAACAAAGGGTATGTATTAGGTGATGAGGAGGAAGAGAATACAGGTAAAAGACACTTGTAGAGCTAGCAGACCCACGGATTCTGACCTCCATGCATGCTCCTCAGCCATTCACCCATCCTCCTTCTCTTCACAAAGGCCGTTTCCTCCAGGGTTCCCAATTCCTGCATCGCTGTTCTTTCCAGCACCCCTTGCTCCTCCTCTGCTGCGGCACTGCTCCCTCGAGGGGATGCTGGTGCTCACCACCTCCCCTGGAAGCATCTCACTAGCCCCTGCCTCCCAGCTCCCTTCTCAGCCCATCTCGGTTCTTTCCTCAGGCCTCACCACCAGCGTCTCCTAGGGATGTGTGTGAACTGAAATGTCTTCCTTTTATCTTGTCTGGTCTGCACCCCATGGGGCAACATGAAGGCTACTATTTATTCTTTCACACATTAATTTGAGATGCTTTAATTGCCGCTATGATATGTTTTATATAATATAATTAATGTTTTAATTCTGTGCACTGGCTTCCCCCAGGCAGTTTTGTGGAGGCCCCAATTTTGGAATCAAGCGAATAAGGAATAAGCAATAGCTGAGGTTATCTAGTAATGCCCCCACTCCCAGGAATGAAAACCAGGCTTGCTTTCCAAAGGGGAGGGAAGGAGGGTTTAATTTTCTCTTCATCCTGGGTTTCTCTGGGTGTCTTTAATGGACACCCCTGGGTCCTGGTTTGCACGCTTCTGGCCTTGTTGTATGTGAACACCATCCTTCCCACCCAGGGGCTGCTGTGGTTTGAGGTCACAATTGAGACGTGCAGAGTTGTGCTCCCTTTGCCTTCTTTGTCATGGGGGCTGTTCGTGGGTGAGAAGTGACAAACCACTCACATACTCACCGTGAGACCCTGTGTTAGGACAGTGATGGTGGTGGAGGGGAGGGACACACGGGACAGAATAAGATGGATCCCAGAGGGAGAAGACAGACAATGCGGTGGGACCTGGCCTCCAGGCGTGCTCTTCAGCCACTCACCTGGCCTGTGCCCCTAACAAAGTGCCTGACAGGCAAGCATGAGGACCACACCTCACCAAAGTTAGTGGAGGAAGAGGGAAGGCCTCTAGTCTTATAACATTTCCCGATGGGTCCTGTGATCCTACGAAAGGCTGGTCCACCCAGTAAATACCTGTCTCCAGACTCCGGATGGAGCTGGGATGGGTTAGAAGCCGCTAGTGGAGACACGTGGATGTCATGCATGGATGGGAGAATGGTACTCTGCCCCTACACGTGGGAATTGCCTTCTCAAGAAAGAGAAACTGAGTAGGTAACTCATTTTCTTGAATCACTTCCTGGCTTTCCAATTGTGGTCTTTCCCGTTTTCTGGGTTTGCGGTGATGCTGGGGACTTCCTTCGACCTCTCTGTCCCCACTGGGGACGCTTTCGGTTCTGCGAAGATTCCCGGAGGTATTAGGGGAAATGTGGGTCTCCTGTGGCGCCCCCCCCCCTGGTCTCCCCCTCTCCCCGCTAGTCCCTACAGGAATCCTTTTCCCCTCTGCTCTTTGCAAGCATGAGACTTCCTAGCCATGCTATAGGTGGCCGTTGGGGTCCCGGGAGGTAGAAAAAGGGCTCCCCTTGGGACTATGCCTCCTCCAGCCGCCCCTTAAACTCCCGGGGGAATCAGACTCTTGGGAAGGTCCTGGGGAAATCCCTGCTCAGCAACTAGCCAGAGACCCTCTGCGATTGGTGCCCGAAGACCCCGCCCCTTTCCTGGGCGGGGCCTTTGGCAGGGACTTTGGAGTTACTAGAGGCACCACTCTAAGTTCTGCGATCTGGCCGCTCCGACGACCTCGCAATGGTTACTTTGCCTCGGCAGTGCGTGCTCTGGGGCTGCTTGTTGACAGCGGTGAGTGGCTTCTGTCCCGATCCCAAGGGATTTGAGAGTGGGAGATGAAAAGAGGCGACAAGACTTCGGGGACGAGATCTTCCTAGCTGATTTGGGGGATAGGGGGAGGTGGGAAGGGCTGAGTAGGGCGGGCAAGATCTCTCTGGTCTTGACTGTAAAATAAGGTGGGCTGCCCCTCCCCCCTCCCAGAAGTTTGGGGTTCCATTCCGCGTAGTGCACGGGGGAGCTTAGGGAGGGCATACCTACACAGAGGTGCCCGGACAACTTTATCTAATCCAAGCCTGGGCTCAGGAGCTGGCTAGCGAGACTGGAAAGGGGTTCGGAGTGCACAGGAAGGTAGTCTGGCTAGGGGAAGGGGCGGGTCTGGCCTGTTTTCCTGTCACTTTCCCATTGTGGATAGACGCCTGCCATCAGTGGTTATCTTCCTGCTAGCTGGGGCCACTTTTTTCAGGGCATCTTGTGGGAACGAGACCCTGGGTGCTTTCTTGGTGAGAGGTGATTTAACATCCACCACACCCTTCCATAGCCAAGCCAATCTTGGAGGAACCCCTGGGTTGGTGCTTCTGCCTCCCGTACTTAAGATGGCGTAAGAGGTACTCAAAGAGAGGAATAGCTATGGAACCCACGAAAGGGTGAAGAGACCAGCCTCGGTTTCTCCCGGCACCAGAATGGCTCAGACCCAACCAAGCACATCTCCGGGATTTTCAGAAGCCATCGTTTGATTCACTTTTGGTTTAAATGTATTTCTGCAGTTCCTCATTCTGGAGGCTGGGAATCCCCTGACTACCTGAGTCTCATCCCCGCCCCTCTGGCTGGGCTCCCCGTGTTTTCAAGCTCTGTAGTCTTTTTGGTTTGGAGACAGGGACTTAGGTGTTTCAGCTGACTCCCACCGATTTGCCCATGGGGGCAGGTATCATGTTCCAGGCCTGGCTTTCTGCAGCTGGGACAGTTGGTACCCTAAGCATATGCAACCAAGGAGCTGAGTTGAGAGAGAGAATCTCAGGTACCTGAGGTTGACCTCCAACTAGCTATGCAGTTGAGAATGACTTTCAATCCTCCCCATTTTTTGCGTGTATACGATTTGCATGTGTGTATAGTGTGTATATATTTGTGTTGACACATGTGTGTTCTTGCATGTGGTGGCCTGAAACTGCTATGAGTCATTCTTGGACACTCTCCACCTTACTCACTGAGGCAGGGTCTCCGTCAAACACAGAGCTCCCCGTATGACCCGTCTCACTAGCCAGCTTGCTTTGGGGATCCCCATCTTTGCTTCGTATGGCTGGAATTGCAGGAGTCCACTACAAATACCTGGCATTTGCATGTGTTTCTGGAGACCTGAGCTCTGGTCCACATGTTTATGTGGTAAGCACTTTAATAGCTGAGCCCTCTCTCCTGTCCTTGAGTTTCTCTGTAGTGCTGGGTCTCCTGGCATGCATCACCATGACCGGTTTTAAAATGTGGCACTTAGAATGGAGCCTAGGGTTTCGGGCATGCAGTGCAGTCATGGTACCAACCAAGCGACATCCCCAGTCGAGGGCCGTAGATTCTGACATATGGCCTGGACAGGGATGACTGTGGGGGTCCACAACAGGAGAGGGGAGGAAGTGAGGAAGCTGCTTTCCAAGCTTTCGTTTTCACTCTAAGCCAGAGGTTCTCAATCCTTTGAGGGCAGGGAATCAAACAACCCTTTCACAGGACTTGCCTCAAGACCATCAGAAAACACAGGTTTACATTACAATTCATAACGGGAGCAAAACTACAATTATGAAGTAGCAACGAAAATAATTTTATGGTTGGGGGTCACCACAGCACGAGGAACTGCATTAAAGGGTCGCAGCATTAGGACGGCTGAGAACCACTGCTCTAAGCAATGACTCTTAGGGAGACAGGATGCAGTTGGAGGGTAGAGCCTTGTGGGAAGAACGGAGGAAGAAACAGAGGTGTGATGAAGGAAGGTCTGGACTACCCACAGGGAAAGTCTGCCCTTGCAAGCTCCAATCTGGGCTCCAGGTAGCGGCTGGGCCCTGCCAGAAATGGCAAGTGCTATTTATCAAGGTCTTTCTGTACATGGGGCTGGGAGAGAGACTGCATGTAGCCTCCATTTGGTTTCTCCCCACTCCTCTGTTACACAGATGACCAAAATGAGGCTCAGAAAGGGGAAAAGGTTTGCCCAAAGACTCTCAGGATGGGTATGAATCAGAATCTGCCTGACTTCTGAGCTCGCCACTCACGTGGCCAGGGGTCCCCAAGCTGTGGCCCTGAGAACTTTGGGGAACGGGAAGTGGGGTGGCAAGTCACCAGGCAAGGTGCCTTTTCAGTTGCTCAACGATGCTGTCAAGGACTTTCACTGCTCTAGAAGCAGAGTGGGAAGTCCCATGAGGTGCTGCCTGGGGATGTGCTGTTGCAGAAGGAGCTTTCAGATGCATTTCATTAAGTGATTTGCTCAGATACCCACGCTGAGTTATAGCTACCCATTAGCCGAATTCTGGACAGACAGTCAGTTGCCCGGGTGCAGGCACCCAAGCAGAAACTCATCTATGTGAGTGGAATACAGTTGCCATTTTGTGAGCGCCCGCCATGGTAGACTGCCAGTCCGAGCTCGTGCGTTTTCTCACATTCTCGACCCATCCGCCAGGGCAGGTGTTATAATTCCATTTTAAAGGTGATGTAACAGGGCTAGTGAGATGGCTTAGTGGGTGAGAGCACATGCTGCCAGGTCCAGTTCTTATTACCAACACTGGGCTGGCACACAAATAAAATAATAAAAGCAGATCTTTAATGGTGAGGAAATGCAGCCTCAGAAAAGCAAGATGACTAGTTTGTGTTACAGAGTGATTTGTCTCATTCTCAAACATGAGCTTTCCACAGCCCTAGCCATGGGTATTTCTAGAATGTAGCCTAACACAATATAGGCTGGAGGGATGGCTCAGCAGTTAAGAGCATTGCAGCCGTTGCAGAGGACTGGGATGGGGTCCCAGTACCCACACTGGGCAGCTCACAACCACCTGCAACTCTGGCTCCAAGGAGTTTCTGATTCGTTCTTCTGAACTCTAAGGGTACCTACCCTCATGCATGCACATATCCACATACAGACACATAGCTACCCATAATCAATAATAATTTTCATGGCTAGACAGACCCTTAGAGCACTGGCTGCTCTTGCAGAGGACCCAGGTTCAGTTTCCTAGCACCCACATGTGGCTCGCAGCCATCTTTCGCCCCAGTTCTGGGGAATCTCGTGTCCTCTTCTGACTTCCAAGGGCACCAACCAGTGCAGGCAAAACACTCATACACATAAAGTAAAATAAATAAACTTAAACAATGTTTGTTGTTGTTGCTGTTTTTCGAGACAGGGTTTCTCAGTGTAGCCTTGGCTGTCCTGGAACTCACTGTGGAATTCACAGTGATCCGCCTACCTCTGTCTCCTGAGTGCTGGGATTAAAGGTGTGTACGCCACTGCCACCCAGCTAAAACTTTAAAAACAAAACAAACAAACAAAAAAAGCAAACAAACCCTCCCATAAATCCTCAAGTACAGGACTGAGGAGATAACTCTGGTTTGAAGCTCTTGCCATGCAAGCCTGAGTTCCCGAGTTCATCCCTGGAACCTTGTAAGGTGGCGTGTGGTAGAAGTCTGCAACCCTAATGCTCCTCAGTGGAACAGGAAAGTCTGCGAAGTTTTCAGGCCAGCTAGCTGGGCACATGCAGCTGAGAGCAGCAGCGAGGTCCCCTTGTAAACAGGTGGAAGGTGAGGACTGACACGGACGTTGGGCCCTGACCTCCACACACGTGAACCGTGGCAAGTGCATGCTCCAAGTCTCAAACAGGGCAATGCATATGCACACACACCAAAACATAGACTCACTTCATAGTTCTTTTAAAAACTTGAAAAAAGGAATTTTTATTACACGTTGTATGTATGTATGTATGCACACACGCATGTGCGTATGAGTACCGCAGGGTATGTGTGGAGGTCAGAAGACAATTTATGGAAGCCAGTTCAATGTGGTTGCCAGTGATTGGACCCAGGTCATCAGGCTTGCCAGTGCCTTGATCTGCTGAGCCATATTGTGTCCTGTCATTTTTTTCAAGGAGCAAGTCTCTGGAGTTAGACCATAGTTAATGCCCTCCCTCCCTCCCTCCGTCCCTCCCTCCCTCCCTCCTTCCCTCCCTCCCTTTCTTTTTTGTCCTGGAACTCACTCTGTAGACCAGGCTGGCCTTGAACTCACAGAGATCTGCCTGCCTTTACCTCCCAAGTGCTGGGATTAAAGGCCTGCACAACCACATGTGGCTAGTTAATGCCGTTCAAAGACTTTTAAAACTAAGATCAAGACAGGTCCAGGGAGAAGGCTCTCAGCAAGTGTAGCTGTGAGCCGAGGCTTACTAACCTTATTAATAGTCTGCTGGGTGTCTTTTAGTTTTTTTTTTTTAATTTATGGGAAGTGATACTAGCTGTTCTCTCAAGGCGACAACGGACTTACAGTTAAGAGAAGTGTGTTCAAACGATCAAGTTCATAGCATGGGAGGCGTCTCCGTGTGGCAGTGACGGAAGTGAGACACAGTCAGTGGAGGGGGGCATGCTGGGAACTCTGATTCTGGACACAGTCAGTCAGAACTTTGATTCTGTCCCTGGGGAACACTGAAATGCACTGTCCACCTTTTTCTTTTGTGTGAGGCAGTCTCTCACTGGCCTGGAACTTGCCAAGTAGACTAGGCTGCCTGGTCTAGGTTCCAGGGACACTTTAAGGAACACAATACAGGCTGGAGGGTTGGCTCAGCAGTTAAGAGCATGTGCGGCCCTTGCAGAGGACTGGGGTTAGGTTCCCAGCACCCACACTGGGCAGCTCACAACCACCTGCAACTCTGGCTCCCAGGAGTTTCTGATTCGCTCTTCTGAGTTCTGAGGGTAGCTGCCCTCACATGGTGTCTCAGCCTCAGTGTCGCCCTCTGTAGAATGACTCCTTATCCTCCTGACATCAGTTGTGTGGGGACAGAAAGCACGGTGGCACTCGGGAGAAGGGCTGAGGCCAGGGGGACCCAGCAGCCTCAGACTCTACAGGAAGTACTTGAGTTCTCCCTTCCTGCTGGGCCTTCGGGGGCACTGAGGAGTCAAGTGGATCTGTTTGGGTGAGGGAGTTCTGAGTTCTTGCTTTGTAAGATGGCAGAATAACTCTGGGTGTTTTATAACCACACCACTTGGCAGTCTAGTAGAAATCAAGTAAACCTCATACTGCGGGTCTTCCTTTTCTGCTTTGGATTTCCACATCTGCTACAGTCCGTGTCTTGGCTAACTTTCAGCATGCCTGTCAGAGATCCCTTCCAGTTACACACTTCTGTTTTTAGGTCCATTTAGGGCAATGCGTTACTTGCAGCGACAAACAGTACCTCTTCAATGGCCAGTGCTGCGACTTGTGCCAGCCAGGTGAGATGAGAAGCCTCTCTAGCCCCCATGCCAAGACCCTTCCTTCCCTCTTGGCCTGCTGGCAGGTGCAGACCCTGTGTATGAACTGTGAACTCGAGGCTAAGAGCGGCTCGTCCCTCCCTCCCCCTCCTCGGTGCCAGAATGCCCCAGGCTGCCCCGCGTCTTCCATCTTCCCCACTCATACGGGGTCTGAGATGACAGGGTCTGCTTCACAGGACTGGCCCGAACTGCCTCATTTCCTCCGGCTTTCTTTCAGGAAGGAGACTGGAGAGCCACTGTACGGCTCTCGCCAAGACCCAGTGCCTTCTGTGTGACTCGGGCGAGTTCATGAGCAAGTGGAACAAGGAGCCCCGCTGCTACCAGCACACACACTGTGAACCCAGTACGAGCGTGCGTGCGTGCGTGCGTGCGTGGGGCTTCGGCTGCGGGGGAGGCGCCCTTGAGAGCTGGGTTGATAGTCCTGACCATGGCATCCCTCCGATCTCAGCAGCTGGGGCCTGTCCTGGTCGGTGGGAGTCTGGGCTGAGTTTGGGCTGTTGAATACGTTAGTTAGCTCATCATTGTCTGTACTGGGAAGAGGGTGTAAGAAAGCGGGAGAGGATCTGAGAAGCAGGACTCCTGGTGCAGCGCGAGGCGGGCGGGGGGGTTCTCATTCTTCCTTCTCATCTCTGCTCAGAGGAAGGGCTTGAGGTTGAGAAGGAGGGTACTGCAGATACAGACACCATCTGTGCCTGTAAGGAGGGACAGCACTGCACTAGCAAGGAGTGCGAGAGGTGTGCTCAACACACATCCTGTGGCCCTGGCTTTGGAGTTAAGCAGATGGGTAAGTGGCCCGCCTGGGGAAGCAGCTCCATGGGTGGAAGAAAAGAGCTGGGGTTGAGCAGTTGGCTTTTGGCTGAGGGCATAGCGACTCCCACTTGGACTGCCATCTTCCCTCTGGTTAACAGGAAATGGGATCTGGCCTTGGCTATGGGCAACTTCCTGGGGAAGGGGAGGGGACTCCTGTTGGGTTGCAGTCTTGCACTGGGGCAAGGAGCTGAACGCGGGCTCTTTCCTGTGGGAGCCACACCGCTGTGATGCTGTGACTCACTGAGACCCCTGATGCATGCTCCCCCATGCTCCCAGCCTCCCGGACTGCCGATACGGTGTGTGAACCCTGCCCAGCCGGCTTCTTCTCCAGTGGGCCATCAGCTTTTGAACAGTGTCGCCCGTGGACCAGGTATAAGGGTTGCCTCTCCTTAATAACAGAAGTGTGGGTCCCGCTGCTGTTCCTCAGCCACCTGTTGCTCAGTGCCCTCCCCCATGGCCACACTCACTTGTGAATGTGACCTGGCTGGCCTAAGGGACGCTTGCTGCACTTTTTTCTTGCCTGCTCTTGCTTAGTTAATAGAACCTGGGTCTCCCTATCTTGATGAAGTCTCTCATCTTGAGGCACCACGACACCCCTCTCTCTCCTTTACTATTCCTTGTCAGCTCTTCCGCTTCTTGGTGTACGTGTGTATATGCACATGCGTGCGTACATGTATGCGTATACACTGCTGTGTATGCATATGTATGTGTGCGTGCATGTGTGTGTGCGTGTGGTAGCAACGTGGGCCGTTGTTCCTCAGGCACTGTCCACCTTTTTCTTTTGTGTGAGGCAGTCTCTCACTGGCCTGGAACTTGCCAAGTAGACTAGGTTGCCTGGTCAGGGTTCCAGGGACACTCTGCATCTCCACAGCACCAGGGATTATAAGCATATGCTACCAAGCCTGGGTTTCTTTTCCTAATATGGGTCCTAGAGATTGAACTCACGCTTACAGGGCAGGTAGTTTCCTGACTGGGTTGTCTGTCCCCCCAGCCCTCCTTAGCGCCAATCTTAGTTGATTTCTTTTGCTTTGACGTCTCCTGCCTGGGAGAGCCCTTAAGTGCATGCCCCATTAACTCTTTGCATTTGTTTTTTTCAAATGAACAAGCCCCTCCCCTCAGGCTGAGAAACACACACACACACGCACACACACACACACACACACACACACACACACGCCCCTTGCTTAGAGCTCACTTTCCCCAAAGGCTAACAATTGCTTGAATTGAGAGTTGTAGCCTTCCCCCTTCCATGAGTCTCTCCTCTGTGTTAGGAATGGTGCTACCTGTGGCAGGCGCTCACCAGTGTCCACTGGTGGGTATTAGCTGACCACAGAGGTTCCTGTACTGGAGTCAAATATACGCCTGCCACACTGCACCGCTTAGCTGGCGTGTACCTTTTGGGGGCCCTTCTCTTCCCCTCTCTGGAGGCTTCAGCTGAAGGTGGCATGGCTGAGGCACACGCTTTCTCTGAAGCCCCCCTCTTCACTGCTTCCGGCTCTCCCTTTGTCCCTCTCTGTCCACGCCTCCCAGGACCATCCATCCCACATCTCACATCTCCGCTCCGCCCCTTCCCCAGCTGTCCGCTCTTCTGCAACATCTCCTGCACGAGTGGCCTGGGAGCAGTTCCTCTTTCTAGTTAGGTCATCTGGCTGGTGCCAAGGACACTCTCCAGCTGCCTGGAGCTGCTCTGCCTGGAGCATATCTTCACAAGTACCGCCCACATGACTCTACTGTCACACCGGTCCAGCTTAGCTGGCTCCCACTTAAACATCCTTCCATGCCTTCATGGAGAAATTTCCCCCAAAAGACCCTTAAACCAGAGCCTCTTAACAGGGACCAGTTTTGCTCTCTGTGGGACATTGGGCACATCTGGTCATCTTCCAGATGCCGTAATTGGTTAGAGGGCTGATCCTGGCGTTTAGCTGGTGGAGACAGAATATTCTGGGACTTAGGACATTTCCCAGCACAAAATACCTGTGGGTGTCAAGAAGCCTCACTGTAGGACGGACTCATCCCCTCCCATTCCAGCCATGAGGGTCCTGCCTTTGAACAATGCCCTGTCTGTCTTAGCCCTTGTCACAAAGCCTGGCCGGCATCCTCCACACCCCTGGTTACCCCTCCTTCACTATGAGCAGCAACTTTTCCTTTCACTTGCGTGTTCCCGTCTTTCCCATAACCAGCAGCTCAGAAGGCAGCACTGTTGGTCACATGCTCAGTGAACCTGGCTGGCTCCCCTGGGCTTAGAAGTCTCGTGGTTGGGGAGCCTGGTTCTCTCTCTCCCTGTCTGCATGCGTGTGTGCATGCACATATATGTGTACACACGTGTCTCTGTGCAGCTGTGAGGCCCAAAACATGGTGGTACGACAGGAAGGGACGAATACGACCGACGCTGTCTGTGGTGAGTCCTGGAGGACGGGTCCTGCCTGGTGTTTGGGAGGGGGACTGGAAAGGGGACACCGAGACACATAGGGGTAGGAATGCGAGCTGGAGGCAATTTGGGGAATAGCACTTCAGCTCCTGTCTTGGGAGCTGGATGAGTCACATCTGCTGTGTGAGCCTCAGTTTCTTCAGCTGTGAAATGGGTGGGCAGCAGCACCTCCCTTACTTGTGTGGTATGACTGCACGGCTTGGCATTTCACCATTTTGAAACTGTGAGCGCAGTTCTGTTGCCCCTCAACTGAGGTGTGGGTACACTGTGACACTGTCGCCTGTTAGCCTTGGTTTGGATGCCAGGGTGACAAGCTTAACCAGCTGCTTGGATCACAAACGCAGACAACAACAGTGACTAGGTTGTCACTGAATGAGTAAAGAAAGAGAGGGTCAGAGAGCTGGGCCTGGGGAGTGGGCCTGTAATCACAGCTGCTTAGGAAGCTGAGGCGAGAACTTTGCATGTTCAAGCCTAGCCTGGAAAACTTGGGGACACACTGTCTCAACATAGAAAGTGAAAAGAGAGGTATTGAGATGGCTCAATTAGCTAAGCTCTTGCTGTGCAAGCCTGATGAGCCAGGTTTCCACACCAGTCTAGCATGTGTGAGGTCCTGGGTTAGACCCCCACACCAGTCTCGCATGTGTGAGGTCCTGGGTTAGACCCCCACACCAGTCTAGCATGTGTGAGGTCCTGGGTTAGACCCCCACACCAGTCTAGCATGTGTGAGGTCCTGGGTTAGACCCCCACACTAGTCTAGCATGTGGGAGGTCCTGGGTTAGACCCCCACACTAGTCTAGCATGTGAGAGGTCCTGGGTTAGACCCCCACACTAGTCTAGAATGTGAGAGGTCCTGGGTTAGACCCCCACACCAGTCTAGCATGTGTGAGGTCCTGGGTTAGACCCCCACACTAGTCTAGAATGTGAGAGGTCCTGGGTTAGACCCCCACACTAGTCTAGCATGTGTGAGGTCCTGGGTTAGACCCCCACATTAGTCTAGCATGTGAGAGGTCCTGGGTTAGACCCCCACACTAGTCTAGCATATGTGAGGTCCTGGGTTAGACCCCCACACTAGTCTAGCATATGTGAGGTCCTGGGTTAGACCCTCATACTAGTCTAGCACGTGTGAGGTCCTGGGTTAGACCCCCACACTAGTCTAGCATGTGTGAGGTCCTGGGTTAGACCCCCACACTTGTTTGGCATGTGTGAAGTCCTAGGTTAGATCCCCAATGCCGAAAAGGGAAAGGAAAATAAAGATACAGTCCCTTTGTTTTTTCTCAAGATTGGCTTTGTTCTCTTGGAAAGATGTGACTGGAATGGAGTGAGAGAAGCACTTGAGCTCATCTGCCACATGTAATAAAGTATTGCAAAAGGACAGTAAGCAAGAGAAAAAACATCTTGATGTTATACTAGAAAAAATAAAAACAAATGTAAGAAATAAAAACCTGTGATGAACAAAAGAGCAAATTTTGAAATCAGGTAGGAGCCGGCCTTGCCAGATGTGTGGACCCTGCTTCTGTCATCCTGAATTTGAACCTGGTTACAATGCAAGTTTATTTAAAAGCCATGTAGCCACCTATGGGCCAGTGTTTGTTCTATTGGTGTTTGCATCCCTATCGATCAGATGGATGTGGTGGTATAGGCCAACAGTCCCAGTATTCAGGGGGCTGCTGCATGAGAATCCCAAGTTCAAGGTCAGCCTGAGCCACTTAGTGAGATTCTGTCTCAAAGAGGATTGAATTTTTTTGTCTCCTTATTTGTTATGGGGAAGTGGTTACACCCCTTGCTCTGAGGCTCTTGTGTCTACATTGTTAACATCTGCTATGGAAGTGTGGAGCAGAGAAATAAAGTATCTCTTGTGTCTACATTGCCATTCCAAGTGACAAAAAGACCAAAAGGCAGGAGGCCTCAGAGGCGAGGGAAGAGAGCAGGGGGTGTGAGAAACAGGCAGGCCGGCTTTCCCTTCACCACATAGCTGGTGAATGCCACGTGGGAAGTTGGTTGACGGGGGGGGGGGGGGGGGGGGGGGCTGATCCTCCCAACTGAAATCTCCCAGGGCTAGAGAGATGGTAAGAGTGTTTATTGTGCAAGCATGAGCTAGGCATAGCCACATGTCACCCCCAGTGCTATGGGGGGGGGGCAAGAAGGAGAACTGCTGTAGCCAGACTAGCTCCAGGCTCAGTGAGAGACTCTGGCTCAGTAGAAGGTGACATGCGACAGAGCAGGACATCTGCATCCTCCTCTGGCCACTGAATGTGTGCACAGATGCACACACCTCCACATATACCAGGGCCACATACGCTATCCTCCCCAAAATGCAATCTCTCAGTTCATAACCATTGGCAAATACCACAGAGCATTTAAAAAGGTCCCCTAATGCAACATTACCCACAGTGCTACTGCTTGAAAGTTATGACCGCAGGAGGTCCAGATGCTAGACCATGCAGTTGCTTTGGACAAGCATTGGGAGCATCTGCCAGTGTCTCCACTCGAGTCTGTCTCTCCAGGTTTGCGGCCCCGGATGCGAGCCCTACTGGTCATTCCCATCGTGATGGTCATCCTCACCACCATCTTCATAGTGGTGTCTTTCTGTATCAGTGAGTGCCCCTGTGAGGGAAGAGGGGGAGGACTCAGGGCTGCAGAACCAGCTCTCCCAATGCCCCACCCCTTCTTTTTCTCTCTAGAAAAGGTGGTCAAGGAACCAAAGGATAATAAGGTAAGCCATCCTTGAGGGAGAGAAACTGGAAAGAGTTCCTGGTGGGCAGGTTGGGAGACTCATGGCACACAGGGAGACAGATTACTACTCAGTGGACAAAGTGCTTGCTACACAAGCCCAGGAACCTGAATTTAGATCCAATACCCATGAAAAAACATGTAACATCAGGGCTGGCAGGGGACATGAACATGCAGAGCTTGCCAGCCAGTGGGTCTTGCTGACACAAGGTACTCCAGGTTCCGAAAGAAACTGACTCAGCAAATAAGGCTGAGTGTGACATCGACCTCTGGTCTCCATTAGTGCATACATGGGTACATGTACATATACCCAACACCACATTACACACACACACACACACACACACACACACACACACACACACACACGGTGGGGGGGCTCAGGATCTGTACCTGGGGCCAGTAAGATGACAGTTGGCTACTCTTACCCCTACCCAGCCCTGAATCACCATCTTCATTCCTTCCTTTAACCCAGTCACTCCCCCACTGTGAGGAGCCAGGCACCATTATCAGAATAACCCTGCCCGTGCTTTCCTCTGGCATGGAACATAGGGAAGTCCAGCCTTTAGAGGACAGTAGGTGGAACCAGAGGGGCAGTTTCTTCTGCTGGCTGACTCTAACTCTGGAAGTTTCCTGCCAAATTTCGTGCGTCCAGCAGGGGGCAGGAGGTATCTGAGAAATCAGCTTTGATAATCCCCCCCCCCCCCAGGGGAAGGGACTTGGAGGAAGGATTCTACTCCCTAGGGACAGGATGACTCTGTGCCTAGGGGTGACCTTGGCTCTCACACCCTGGCTCTCCAGGCCTTACCCCATGCTGTTGAAATGGAAGGTCCCATGGAGACGGAAGATTGTCCTGGCCACAACACTGCGGCTCCAGTGCAGGAGACAATGGTTGGGTTTCAGCCTGTCACACAGGAGGATGGCAAGGAGAGCCGCATCGCAGTGCAAGAGAGACAGCTGACCGACAGCATGGACTTGAAGCACCTGGTCTGAGACCCTGGAGCTGCTGCAGTGGTGATGGCTTGAGGGCATCGGATGACTGCTGACATTTGAGATTTGAAAGGAACAAAAACTGTCATCCCTCGACTTGCTTTTAAAGATGGAGGAAAAGCTTGGGCATCAGGGGTCCACAGAGTGCAGCAATACAGGACCCAGAGATGTATCATGGTGGCTTTCACTATCAGGAGTCATAGACGCTACAGTCTATGGCTTTGTGACTTGTACTGTTAGAAGACACCTGATTGCCCATCAGCAGGGGACTGGCTAAATAAATCTGTAATGTATTTATACAACAGGATCTCAGAAATACTATCAACTCAAGCAAACAAACAAAAACAGGAATGATGGGTAGGAAAACGACTTTTAAAAACACATACCCAGGCAGGTAAGGTAGCTTTTGTGGGTAAAAGTACTAGCCACCAAAGCCTGATTACCCGATTTTGATCCCCAGGATTATATGGTAAAAGGAGACAACCAAATTCAGAGGATTGACATTTGACCGCCATGGGCATTCTGTGGTACATGTTCATGCATGCATGCATATGTATATGCGTACCCTAAGATGGGTATGGTGGTTCATGCCTGTAATACCAGCACTCAGGAGGAAGAGGCAGGAGGACCAGGAGTTCCAGGCCAGCCTTGAATACATGGTGAATTCAAGGTTAGCCTGGGCTACATGATACTGTTGCAAAAACAAACATTAACTGGGTGGTGGTGACACACACCTTTATTCCTAGCACTAGGGACTCAGAGACTGGTAGATCTCTGAGTTCGAGGCCAGCCTGGTCTACAGAGTGAGTTCCAGGACAGCCAAGGCTACACAGAGAAACCTTGTTTTGAGCAACAACTTCTCCCAACCTCCAAAACAAAGCACACAAAGCTCTCACATACCCTTAAACAGTGTTTATGCGCTAAATGACAGTATGTAAGCAGACTGCACATTGTACTTGAATACGGTCTGTTTGGATATGGAAGGAAAGCTATGATGCTGTGAATAAGACACGTTACATGTGTGGGTAAGACAAAGACTCCAAATGAAGCACTGAAAATCCAAACTGCAGGAGTGGATCTAGAGGTGATTGAGCGGTTAAGAGCAGCGGCCCCTGTAAAGGTCTTGGTTTGGTTCCCAGCACCCACATAGAGGCTCACAGCCATCCAGTTTCAGGGGATCTGATGCCCTCTTCTGACATTGATGCACACTGAACATATGTGATACATGTACATACCACACAGGTAAAACACGTGTACACATAATATAAATGAACTATTTTTCTAAAGAGTGATGAGGTCTGGTGGCAGGTGTGTGTGTATGTGTGTTGGGTTTCCCATAATGCTTCATTATTTTTCCAAGGGGATAGTAGATTCATATAATGCTTACGTAATTAAAAAAGATCATCAAACGTGTACAAAGGAGACTAAGGGTAGACATGCCAGGTGATGAGATATTTAATTTGCTATTAGGCTGGAAGAATTAGGGTATTTTCTGAGCTCAAGTAAGAGTGTCCCCAGACTACGGGGTCTCCAGGGAATTTTGCCAGTATGCTCACATTTAGTGGGAAGTTTGCAAGGCCTCAGGTTCACAGAAGTAGCCTTCTAGGACAGGCAAGGTCTGTGTCCCTTCCCATTTTACAGGTGGAGGGAATGGGTACAGAGGGGGGGTGACTTGTCAATGGTGATACAGTGGTGTGCAGTGGCCCATGAACTCCCACTCCTGGTTCCAAGCTGCTCCAAGATCGATCTCTCTGCTTTCCAGAGACTAGCCACTGCGGACATCAGCTTCCGGGGAGATCCTGGGTCCCCTACTGTTTTCTGACCTCCTCCATGCTTCCCAGTCAGATGGTGCCCTCTTCTGCCCCACGACAGTGTCTCAGGATAAAAATAGAGCATCCGTTCTCTTTTCCTGCTGTGCCAACTGAGGGGGAGCCTAGCCAGGAGAAGCAGCAGATGGAGTGGGAGCAGAGGGGAGGGGAGGGGAGGAGGCTGGGGGACAAGGAGGGAGAGGAGGCAAGGAGGTGCCTCAGAGAGACTCCTACACAGGCTCCCACTGAGGTTTAACTCACAAGTCTCAGACAGTTGTGGATCCCCCTGGAGGTCCTACTGCTTGGAGGGTGGGGATGGCAATGGCTGGTCCTGATGCAGGCTGGGGGTGGGAGGTGCCGCTGCAGGCTGGGGGTGGGAGGTGCCGCTGCAGGCTGGGGGTGGGAAGTGCCGCTGGAAGCCGAGAGAAGGACACCTGGCTTTGGCAGTCTTCCCAGAAGAGCTTCCGGGCCAGTTGGAGGCACCAGGTGGAAGCTGTAGTTTAGAAAGCAGAGGGAAATGTGGCGGGGGTGAGGGAACTTTGGGACCTAGTCCTCTTTCCCTGTCTAGAGCCAAGTTGGTGGCCTTGACTTCCATGGTGGTAGTGGTGGTATCGATGGTGTGCGCGCGCACGTGCACGTGTGTGTATGTGTGCGCATGCGTGTGTGTGTGTGTGTGTGTGTGTGTGTGTGTGTGTGTGTGTGTGTTGGATAGAGGCAAAAGACCCACCTGTCACCTGTTATCCGAGTAGCCTTGGGAAAGTCACTGCCGCCCCTTTGCTTCCCAGTTTCTTACCTGGTGGAGGGCAGCCGCCACATCCAGCAGGTGCTGTAGGTGATGGTTGCAGTTGCTCTTCTCTAGGTTAGAGGTTCTTGGATTTGAAGGAACACAGTGACCAACTGTGAGGTTTGTAGAGAGACAGATTGCTGGGCCCTACCTCCCATGTTTCTGGTTCAGATCTGGGACCAAGATCAAGAATGTGCATTTCTAGCAAGTTCCCCAGGTGGTCCTGATGCTGCAGGATCAGAGAACATACTTAGAGAACAGCTGCCCTTAGCGTCCACACTGCTGACTAGGCAGTGGATTTCCTGTTGGCTTTGGGATCGATGCCTGGGCTTCCCCTGTCTCGAATACCTGCCTGCCGTGGCTGCAGGCCAGGCTGGGGACAGCTGGGAGAGTTAGTGTCTGGGAGCACATACTCTCATCACAGCTGAGTTGAGACAGGGTGGCCTGAAACTCACCGTCAGCAGAGGTTGGCTTGGGCTTCTGATCCCATGGTGCTAGGGATCATATATGCTTGCCACTACATCCCATATAATGACCTAGGGACTGAACCCAGGGCTTCAGGCATGTTAGGCAAGTAGTATGTCAACCGGGCTGCATCCCAGCCCTGCGGGTGTCTACACTGCTTTCTGGTCTCCCTAGAGTGGCGGAGTCCCACGTGTCCACAGCGAGCACATAGCCCCACTGCTTTCTTCATTGCTTTCTAAGTTCAGTTTCCCTCTGCTGCCCCCTGGCTCAACTCTCTGCCACACCGCTTGCCTCCATTTCTGTCTCTGGTCTGCTTCTGGAAGTTTCTTCTGAAAGTCTGCAGAACCACGCATAGGAAAGTAACTTTAGTATCTCTTAGCATCCAGCTTGACCATGACCTGCCTGCAATACTGGGGGTATGGACACGTGTCACACATCTCTGATGAAAGACTGGTTCCCTAAGGGTCTGTCTCAGCCTGAATATTGTAGGAAGGACCAGCCTCCTCCCATGTAGAGACTGCTCTTCTGGTGGCACCTGGAGGGGTGGCTGTGAGGCTGGCAGTGTCCAGCAGGTGGCGGCAAGGTAACATCCTAAAGTCTTTGGTTGCTGCCTGGCGCTGGCTTTGCTTTGAGCTGGCTCTGCATAGGTCCCAATCTTTGTAACTGAGGTCTGACCCCCTGCCTCATTCATTCTGCAGTTTCAGTCTGACCACTCAGTAGGAGGTGTGGCCTCTTACTGCACCCATCTCACAGATGGTGCTTAGAGGTCAAACAACTTGTTAGAGCTGAGATCTGGGTCTAAGTTCCCTTCCATAAGGATTGTGCTTGCCTGGGGCAGATGGGAGTCTGGGCTGGGCAACCAATCGGTAGAGGAGATGGGGTCTAGGGAGAATGAGGCTACCTGGGGCAGGATTCCTCCTCTGGGGCAAAGTCTATTGGCTCTTTCTAGCCCATCCCAGGAGGAATGAGAGTTGCGCGGTGTTTCCCAACACACAAATGTAGCTAATTCCATAATTAAAAAGGTCTTGGTAATTGCCCAAGAAATCATGATGCCATGATGCAGAGGGTTTGGAATGGAAATACTAGGAATCTCACTGTGTACTGGTGTGTGTGTGCGTGTATGTGTGTGTGTGTGTGTGTGTGTGTGTGTGTGTGAGAGAGAGAGAGAGAGAGAGAGAGAGAGAGAGAGAGAGAGAGAGAGAGAGAGAGAGAGAGAGAGAGATCAGGTAGCCCTGGGGGCTTAGGCTGTACCAGTGGTGAAATGGGTCCAAGGCACTGAACCCCAAGACTTCAGCGCTGTGTTTGGGCGGCCTGGCTAGGCACAATGAACCCTGAGGTGGGCATCCTCCAGGCGTGCGTACTCAGATACCCTCTTGCAGACTCGGGCCTTGCAGCGGGTTCCTTGGGCAGCAGAAGTTATTAAAGGCTATGCCCCAGAGGATTACTCTCCCCTGGAATCAGTTGGGCATAGAAAATTACAAACCCACCTGCAGGGATGGGGAGATGCAGGTTTAATTTAGAATAAACTGGGGGAGGGAATCATGCTGTAGTTTGGGGTGGGGAGGCATTTCCTAAAGGGGGCTTCCCTGAGACTAGTAGTGTGGTAAAATAGGGGTTCTAGAAAGATCAACCAGTACATTTTTGCCCTAGGGGCATTGGGATGGGGACCAATCTTTCTTCCCATGCTCTCTATCACCAGGTCTCCTGCCCCCCCCCCCGCAGATTGGTGGGTCCCGCTGGGCCCTGGCACTCAGCTAGGCCCCTGCTTCCTCCTCACCCCAGGCCTCCCTCCCACTCCCTCCAGGGACTGTCTGGTCCTCCGGTCCGTCCTTCCTGCTTCCTGCACACCTCCTTCATCTCCAGCTCCTCTGCCTCACCTGGGTTCTCTTTCGAACAAGTGTTGTTGTTTTGGCTAATTATAAAAGTCATACTCCTGCATCGCACCCCCATCCAAGCAACAAACGACCAGGAAAACAGGGCCACCTGTAAGCCTCCCACCACCCTGCCAATCATAAGGCATGGTTCTTTCAGAATTGCTTTTTGTGCCAGAAATAGTTTTTAAACTTGAGATATGATTATATGCACTATTTTGTAAGCAGCCTTCTCTGCTTGGTGGGACCCACCAGGACGCCTCTCCATGCCAGTGAATATATAGATCGCCAGCATGGTTTTAATCGCTACAAATTCCCCTTGCATGGCGGGCTCCTGACTCATTAGGGAACCCCCATGTTGCTGGGCACACGGG